ACTCCAATACGTTGTGCCAAAGTCACACCAAAGTATTTAATGTTCCCTGAATGTGCCAGGGACTGTCGTGTCTTGAGGTCTTTGCACATGCTGTTGTCTCTGCCCCCGTCCCTGTCCCTGACCCCACTGGCAAACTGTGACCTCTACTCACTCTTTAAGGCCCGCAACAAGGACTCCCTACTCAGATTCCCATGTGTCCTTCCCCGCTTCTGCCAGAGCAGCACAAATCTTCCCCTGTTCTGTGCTCCGTGAATTTCACGTTCGTCCTGGTTTTAGCTCCTTGCGCGTGGTCATACTGTTTTGGGGGAAGAGTTGTTTGGTTAACGTGAACTTCTTCCGGAGGAGTGTGAGGTTCTGCAGGGGACAGACTTGCACGGAATCGAGCACACTGCCTAGCAGGTATCGCGGCGTCAGTAACAGCTTGTTTTGCTGAATTGGCATTGTCTGGCTGGAACCTTCAATATTTTCTACTTCTGTTCCTAATGTCTCTGGGGGAATTTTTTCTAGACCAGTATGTGAGTACCAAGGAGTCGTGGATGGCGGATTACTGTAAGCAGGATAAGGAGTCGGACTCGGCCCTGTCAGAAGACTGGATGGGCTCTTCAGTGGACCCTCCATGCTTTGGACAAAGTAAGGTTTTTCCCTATAGATGTCTAACTAAATTGCTGTCGACCTGCAGAGCGCTGTTTCATTGAAAAGTCAAAAGTTATTTTCTGTGGAAAGACCAACCGGAGATTCTGACAATCCTCCTTCTGTTTTAATCTTTGTGAGATACATTTTTCTGGTGCAGAATGCTCAGCCCCAGTTTCACTGTTGTGGGAGAGGGAGGGTCTGCAAGGTCCAGCCCCTGAACTCAGGTAACTTTGCACGTGAGCCGGCGCACCTGAAATGCAGTCTGTGTTATACTTGGCCAAATGTTCCTATAGATTGACTTTTTGGACTGGGTTTTTAAAAAGATCTTTTCAGTCTTCTAACACTAAAGATTGGACATATATGCTTAAAGGGGGGAGGCAAAATATCCCGTGTGGAGAGGATTATTAGAGGGGGGCCTGTATTCTTCCCAAAGTGTAGAAGAATTGAATACCCAGCTCTGGAAGAAAGAGGAGTCCATTTGTTCTCTGTTAACGGTGTTTTCTTTCCTTATTTAATGCTTCACTGTGGGGCTCTGATTTCCTCAGAGCTGGGAGTTGGTGATGGCCAACTGCACGGTTCTTAGTTGTTCCACAAGTCATTGTCATTCAAATGCAGCTCAGCCCCAGCCCTTTCAGGGTGGTTTCTTTGGGGAGTCTTGGCTGGACTTCATATAGCTCGTGAATACTTAACTATTCCATCTGGTCTGCAAACGTGTCACGGGAAGATGGATTTTCATGGTGTGTGAAGTATTTGAATGGGTTCGTCTCTCCTCAGCGTGTGCAGACAGACTTGCTCTCTGCCCTGTACTTCTAGAAGGAGGGACAGGAGATGTCAGCTGTGCTTGCCCTCTGTCCTCCCAGGCTGTGGCTTTCAGTCCCAAGGTCACTGCTTAGGGCTATTCAGATATCATCAGCTTCAGTTTCGGCTCCTCCTCTAATTGTCCCAATTTGTGTGTCAAGAGAATATAACATAAATTCTACCCAGAAGACTCTAAATAATCTGTGTAGTATGTTATCTGTCTCAGGGAGTGGGCATTTCTAAAAGCGTTCAGACAAGGGGGTCTCAGTCCAGGGGTGGCTCTACCACTTAGGGAGGCCCGTTGCCAGGATGCTAAGGAAGGGGTTTCTCTCCTCCCTCTCCTTCCTCCCCTGCCCTTCAGAAAAAGAGTTCTCCTGCTCCTTTAAAGGTGATGAGCAGCCTTACTTATGTTAAATGCCTCTGCTGAATTAAAGCTGGTTTTATGTACTTAGATTTGTATAGTTACTTAGGCACATAAAGGTGTAATATTTCTTTTTAGTTAGACATAACTGGATATATCTAAATTTCTTTTCAGAAGAAAAAAAGATTTTTTAGGAGTTTTTTTTTTAGAAATATTTCTTTTTAGAAATATTTGTTTTTTAGAAATGTTTCTTATTAATTAGACATAACTGAATATATCTAAATTTCCAAACCTCTTTTCTTATCTGAAGTTCTTGGGTAGTAGTAAATCAGCTGGGATTGTATTCTTTTAAGAGACCTATTGAAATAATTGGTGGGCATTTGTTTTGAAAGTCAGTTGTTGAACTGACCACAGACATTCAGGTCTAATTCATGAATATCTAGTCACCCCCCCCCCCAACCCAATTTGTACATTTTATTCAGGGCAGCTTCAGTGGGAGCTCTTGGAATAGAGATTCTTAATGTGAAGTTCAGCCTAAGGGAGCTGCTGATTTCTGACTGTTTCTTTAGCAGGAGAGGAAAATAGCAGCTTTGTTTCTGACGTAATTGTAGGCTTTCTTCAGTAAGGGCTGAGACTCTGCAGTAAACCTGGCTGGCATGGCACCTGACTGAACCTGCTAGTTCTGTATCCCAAGGACATGGTTTGGAAATGGAAACATTCTAAAAACTGCCCTGTTTAACTTACAGTGTACCTGTGCTATGAGATAACTCCTTAGGAACGACAGTTAAAACGGAACACAGGTGGACTCTCTGCTGGAGTTGTTGAGACCCCCGAGGGACCAGCATTCTGCTGCCACTGCATTTCCATGGGGGACGGATCAGCTCCCACTCAGATCTGTACCCTCTGGTGTTGGCGACTTTCCTGTGACATCTAAGAACATTCCTGCTTTAGAAAAGTCCTCAAAGGGCTTGTCATCCTGTTCAAAAGGACCTTGAATACATTTTCTCTCCCCAGTTGAGAAAAAAGGAGCACGCTTCTTTGATACTGCCTCTGCAGTTAAAAAGCCAGCGTGAAAACGGTCCCACTCACCTCGTCAGGCACCTCCTTAGCTTTTACTCGTCACTGAGGGGAATGATGCCGCAACTGCATGACGCTTGCTGTTTTCCTAATGGGCTCTGAGTGGGCTTCCGCGCTGGGGCGAGTCGCCTTACTCACTGTGTTTGTTCTCACTGTCTAACTTTGTCTCTCCTGTCTGCCAGGCCTGCCCCTGGTCTACCTTAGAACTAGGAGCACAGCCAGTCTGACTAACCTAGAGCACCAGCTCTATGCGCGAGGTATGGTACAGCCACGCGAGGGCTTGCTTTGTTTTCCTGCTTTAACAACTGCCTTTACATTGATTTTCTGTGAGTGGGAGCTGGATGGGAGCATACCTGGTTTTGAGCACTTTGTTTAGTAGCAGGAGAATTTCCAGCTAATGAGCAGAGTGGCACTTTTTATGAGAGGGAAGTGGTGTGCTGATTTGTACGCTGTCTCCGGCGTTCACTTACCTTAACCCTCGGTAGAAATGGAGTCGGCTCCAGTGTGTGCTGCAGACACGCCCAGTGTCAGGTAGGTGATTTCTCACACTGAAAAGCAAGTCAGTGGAAGAACACCAGCCTCCACCGAGCAGCGCTCCCCGTGTGTGTTTGCAACACACACGGGGAGCGCTGCGGGATGGCACACTCAACAGACAAGGCTAACACCAGGCCCTGCCCCGGCCGTGACGTCTTTGGTTTAAAACAAGGCCATTTCAGCTTCCGCTACAGGAGTTCAGAACAGGGACACGATGACACCAGACAGCACTGCGGGGGATTTTCCTGGAGGGTTTACTGAGGTGGGTGTGTAGGGATGGCTTCCAAAGGAAGCCGTGACCGAATCCCCATTTATTCATGGATTTATACTCTCAGCCTTTCTGGGTCTGATGCTGAATCTTTCAGCCTAAGCAGAGTGTTACTCCTGTGTAGCGGACAAGGACAGAGAACATAGAGAGACCAGTGGTTGGCCTTCCTTCACGTGACTAGCTAGTAGCAGGCCTGGGACGTTCATCTACTTCTTATGATTTACAAAGCAAGTCCTTGCAGACAGAGTGGGCTGCTTGTGTAGCATGAAAACCTGCACTGTGTGTAATGGCCAGATTGCTCTGTGAAACAAGTCCAAAGGGGGAGAGATTCCCTCAGCTGCAGCCATTGGAAGCTGAAGCTGGATGTGAGGAGCTTCAGGTTCTCTGAGCCCATGGAGAAATTAGGTCTGGTCGCTGGGGACAGATTTTCTGAGGTCACCAGGGAACACTGTTCTTTTTGATGGACTTGGGAATTTGATTTTTGGTGCTGTGCCAGAGGCAAATCCATAGTTGATTTGGACCTCAGTGCAGGAGACGTCAGATTTGTCCCCTGGCGCTGGCGTTGGAGTTGTGAGTACTCCGTGTATTTTTATTGTCAGAGAGGTCGGTTGCTGAAGTCTCTGCTGGTGTGTAATCAAAACAAGCAGCTCAGGGATCTAAGCTGTGTGCCTTCCCAGGCTATTTAATTCCAGAGTAATATACTCATGAATATCTTTATATGGATTCCTAGCACTTTATTCTGCATTACACTGTGATCAAAGCCATTTGCCACCTGTTCTTTTTAAATCTAATTTGCAAATGGAAACTTACAGTCTGGCTCACAGCGGGATATGAAAGCACAGCTGGCTTCTTTTCCTCCGGGGCCTTTATCTCCTGCAATAAAGCCTCTTGCTCAGGCACTCACCGGGCGGAGGTGCCTTTCAAGGTGCCCCAGTAAGTACTGTTTACCCGGCAGACAGCTCTTAAACTTTTTACTCCCCCTCTGCTCTTGTCAGCAGCCTCACAGCTACTCCGTAATTTTCTACTTGATGAATGTTATTAGTATTTGTTTTAAAGGAAACCTTGGGAACTAAGGCCATTGGGAGGAGAAGTGGGTATGTTGTAAGCAGAGATTGTCTTTAGAAGAATTTGGGGGCGTCACTAAAGACTAAGCATGGAATTGTGGGCGCAGGCTGTGGACTGCTCCTTTATTTGGCATGTTGTTATCAAAGTACAACTTGCCTTGGCCTGAAATTGCTTGTGTTGCAGTGTTTCTAGTACCAAGTTCTGAAAACTTCAGAGGCTAAAAAGGGAAGTGCTTACTTTTTAAAGGTAGAGCAGCGTGGGCACCGGAATGTGGCACGCTTCACGCATTTGCGTGTCGTCCTTGCGCAGCGCCGCACTAATCTTCTCTGTATTGTTTCTGTTTTCGCGTGTGAGCTGCTGAGCGAGCATACTCACACAGTTGAATACCCCGGGCCATAGAAGAGAAGAAAATGTTACCCTTTGCGACAGTAAGGGTGGACCTGGAGAACATTATGCTAAGGAGATCAGCCAGTCAGAGAAAGACAAGTACCGTGTGATTTCACTCACATGTGGAATCTAACGAACGAACTGAACTAACAAACAAAACAGACTCACAGATAGAGAGCAGGCTGACAGCTAGTGGGGATGGGGTTAGGGTACGGCTAGGGTCCCTGTGAACAGGAGAAAGGACTCACGGACACGGACGGCAGCGTGGTGATTGTGGGGTGGGGAGTGAGGCATAAGGGGGCTAAATGCTCATGGAAGACAATATAATAAAAAAGAAGAGTTAAAGAAAGTCAGCTTGCATGAGTAAAAAGAACAAAGGGAAAACGAGGGCAGCGATGATGACCGACCTGTGACACCGATCCACGCCCCACCTGGGAGGTGGCAGAGGCAGGGCTGTGCGGTCTCCCTTCTTGTTTTGCTGGCAGGAAGCTTGTGGGCCCAGAAGATGAGTTTCATTTTGTTGTAGTGGCCCAGTCAGCAGTCGCAGTCACCTCCAGATGTGGTTTTCTGCGCAGCTGCAGACCATGTGGGGGCTGGTCTCACTCAGGCCATCTTTGCTTTAACGCGAGACACCTAGGAGACAGGGCGGTGCCCGCCTCGGTTGCCAGTGTGCGTGCAGCGTGAGCACACGGCCTTTGTGGTTCCTGCTGCTCCTCCTCCTTTCCTCCTGTGGCTGCAGAGGAGACTCAGGCCTGGGTCCGAGAGGCCCACGTCCCTCCTCCCGCAGCCTCTGTGCAGCTCCAGACCACCGGCAGGGCAGGCTGCAGGCCGCCGGTCTGCCTCTCGGCTCTTTCTGGCCATGTGGTCTCTCACTTCCTGATTTTTTTTATAGTGTTTATTGTCAGGCCAGTTGTCTTTCTAGAATTTGGTTACTTACAATCTTGTGTTGATCAGTGTCTCTTTCCAGTTTCCCTGATTAGAAGCTATTTTGTGAAAAGAAGCTGTAGTTTATGCTCCTTTTGTGGTCTCCCTAGTACCTACCCTACGGCAGACGGTGGTGGTACCCGTGTCGACTAATGAGCTAAACGTTTCCTTTTAAAGCCTTTAGGACAGTACATTTTCGGTCCTCCAGGGAGAGGAAACCCCCAATGATTAGTGTAAGGGAATAGGAACAGTATTTTTCTTTCGTTGCCGTAGGAATAACGTGATTGCAGCGTAGCTTTTACGGAGAGGGAGGCTTTGTTAAGGGCAGGTGGTTTGGACCAGGTTTAATCAAGCAGGTGTGATCTACCTCGCTAAGTGTGGGCCCCTTCAGTATATTTCCTGGGAGTAGCGCGGGTCCTGTTTCTCCCTCTCTCAATTCCAGCCAAGTTCGGTCCCCACGCCCTCTGCTGAGATGGGGCCCACGGGTTGTGGGAGAACTGGGGGCTGGGGCAGCCCCACATCACAGCCAGCTGTCGGGGGGGGCGTCCTGCAGCAGGCAGCAGAGTCCCTGGGGATTCCAGCCGCCCCGTGGGCTCAGCGGTGGTAGTTCCTTCTCTCTTCCCCCTTCTTCAGCCCCTTTGTCGAGAGACCATTTTGGGTACTGTCTCGGGGCGGGGGAGGAGTGGGGGGTGTCTCTTCCACAGAGGTGGAGGTGATGCTAACAGCGGCTGTCTGTCTGTCCACAGCAGAGGTGAAAACCCCGAAGCGCAGGCAGCCTTTCGTCCCTTTTGCCCTGCGGAATCACACGGGCTGCACTTTGTGGTTCGCCACGCTGACCACCACCCCCACCAGGTAAGGAGCACTCGACCTGTTACCCTGAGCCATCTCTGCCACCACAGGCTCCTGGGTACCAGCCCGGTAGGCGCCTTCTGCAGGCTCTTGGATTGTACTTGAATCAGGAACTTGCTGCCTGGCTCCCCGTGGAGTCTGTAGTCAAAGAAGTAGGTCCTGAATCTGAAATGCCCAGATTATGATGCCAACCCCGGTAGACAGCGTGTTTAAAGTCAGAGTCAGGCAGGTGAAGGGCATGAGTGGGACGTGAGAGAGCAAGTCGTTCCGTGTTCTCTCCTCAGTCCCCACGCCCCTTCAAGGAAACTGTACGTGGTTATTAAACCAAACGTTGTACATTTTTCTTCTGAGGCTGCTCTGAAACACCTCTCATTTTCTTCCCTTTATGCTCCATGAGAATTGTCTTTCAAACCTTAAACACACTTTAGTCCAGATGGCACTGGGCAGAGTCTGGAGAATAAGTAAGAGTTTCCCTAAGTCGACGGAGGGCATTCTCTGCGGCTTCCTGCCTGCCGAGACCCGGGCGAGGTGATGAAGAACACGGAACGAGCGACAGAATCCACTGATTGGAAACCTCGTTTTTTCTCCACTAAGTGTGACCATGCTTTACAGGAGACTTCCTGGTTTGTTTGTTTTTAAAAAAGTTTAGGTCTGTTAAGTGCTTACAGTCACGTAATACTGCCTTTCAAAGTCATGACTCAGTTTACATAGCGCCCTGCGTAGCAGGCTCAGTGCTGGGGGGCAGGTGAGTGTGCAGTGATGGCGCTCAGCTGAGTAGTGTCGGGTATGCTGTGATAGACGGTGGCAATAACTTCAGTTACGGACCTTTGAGATCATCCGTGGGAGCCAGGTCCTGCGGCCTTACTGCTGCGACTCAAGTTGCGGGAGGCTTCCTGCTCCCGGCACTGAGCTCTGTGTGGGAGGGGGCTGGAGAGGGACAGGGACGAGCTGCACTGTCTGATCTGGTTCCAGGGCCGCACTGTCTCACAGCGGGAGCCCGGGGGTCGTTCCAGAAGAGAACGGAGCCTTTCTTGACGACGCTCACAATGTTAGTGAGTGGCGGGAAGTCCTCACGGGTGAAGAGATTCCCTTTGAATTTGAGGCACGTGGGAAGCTAAGACACAGGTAAAGTGTGGTCCATTCTTTCCCTCATATGTGATGCGATTGTCTCAACTGTTTTGTCTTTTCACTTTACTGAAGATTGTATTCATTTATTTTTAAAAGATATTTTGAAAATCAGTGTTTCCTTTTAAAAAATATAATGAGTACTGGGGGGTATAAGGGGACTAAACGGTAATGGGAAAAAGTAAATACAATGTAAAAAATATAATGACTGTCTTGCTGTCCTGGAAATACAGTTTACTTCCCATCAGTCACCGCTTTGTGGGACATGTGCGTGTCCCATGATCTGGTTCAAGCACAGACGGCATAATGCTCGGACGCATCGCTTCCCGGCCTGGTCTTCATGACGTGCTGGCGACCTGGTGTTTCGAGAGGCTTTAAAGTGTGTCGGTTTCAGTTTTTAGGATACGTAGGGGCCACAGAGCACTTTCAGCAGCAGATGTTTTCAGAAAGCAGAGCCGTAGTGATAAGATGAAGTGGTTTGAGGGTAAGGACCCCTCCTCTGGGGAGACTGCTGGCACTCGCTCCTGATGCGATACCACCAAGGACCTGGGACAGACTCGAGCGGAGGTTATGGCTGCTTACTGAGAGGTCACGGAGTTCCTGATGAAGCCCTCTGGTTCTGCAAGCATTTTTGAGCGGAAGGGCTGTCTGGTGAAGAGGTCAAGGTGTTAGCGTTTGAGCCTCCATCTGTTTTCAGGCTGAGCCAAAGTGGAGGAGAGTGGCTTCGGCCTGCTGCTGTCCCAGTGCCCTCAGTCTCTCTTTGTGTGCAGACCTGCTCCTGCGACAAACACTTCTCCCACGTAGCTTTCTGCCAGCGCACTTTCCTCCCTCGTGGCAGACCTTCCGAACTCGTGGGCCCCCAGTGACGGTACGGGAAAAATGTAGTTTAAAAAAGTCACTGCCCTCTCTGGGTGCACGTGCCTGGAAGCCGTGTTAGAATTCCCAGGGACGAGTGGTGAGCGTTCTCCTGTTCCACAGAGTTCCTGGAGGAGCTAACTGGAGAACCGTGCGCTGTACTCTAAGCACTGCCTCTGTGATATCAGAAGTACAACTGTTAGCTGCACTTCTCCATAAGCACTGCCTCTGTGTGACCTCTTTGTCATTTCCGTTTTAGATTCCATGTTTTGTAACCCGTTTCAAGTCCCACTGTTCTTCTTGAATTCATCCAAATAAATGCCTTTTCTGGCTTTTCCCCCATTAGCACACTGTATCCTGCTCCCTGCCTCCCTCCCTCCCTCCCTCCTTCCTGTCAGCCTCAAATCCAGTTCCCCATTTCAGGCTTCTGGCTTGAATTAGGCAAAATCTAAAATGGAATTAAATGTGCAATTTCCTCCCATTCCTCCTGTTCTGCCCACTGCTTTCTGCTTCAGTTTCCGCCAAGCGCCTCCGCTCTGAAACGCCGAGGGCGCCGCCTCTCGTGACCTGTCTGCAGCCGTGGGGACCGAGCCAGGGCCGAGTGTGGTTCTGAGAGAAGTGGGGCTTCGACAAAAGGGCTGAGAAGAAAATGTTCGGGTGTTTCCCAGATTGCTAGGAGAGGGTTTTGACTCCCCCACTGAACTGGTTTCAGCTGGCTGATGGCACTGTTTCATAAAGGTTGGGTGGGGGTTGGTGGGGAAGGCCCTGGGCGAGTGTTCGGGGTTCAAGCGGCCCATGCAAAGGGAGGGTGTGTGCCGCTCTTGCTCACGCTGCACAGATCCTGCAGTTTTTAGTGTGAAACCCACCGAATATAGTCTCTTGATTTCCCTTGCACCAGGTAATCACTGAAAGGCTTGGCCAGCTGGGTTTTTATGGAATTATATAGTAAATCAGATTTGGGTCTTTGCTTCCAGTTTTCTTTCCCTTATAAGGCTGTGCTTGGTGTCCCTCTCCGTGTTCTGATGCAGACACACCCATGACCTCCGGATCCACCAGCTGCAAGTGAGAGTGAACGGCTGGGAGCAAGTGAGCCCCGTGTCTGTGGACAAAGTGGGGACCTTTTTCCGATACGCAGCACCAGATAAGAATTCATCTTCCTCTACGGTGTGTGGCAAGGGGATGGGCGTAGGCTGTGCCCCAACCACACTCCCTTACAGCCAGGCACTCAGCGAA